ACAAAGGCTACTTTTATTTTGGAAAAATAGATCATAAAAAAATTATAAACTAAAATTCATATTATACGCAGACAACAGGTAGTAATGAAATAAAATAACAATTATTATATTAAAAAAGAGTACTGTATAAAGAGAGTGTTTAAGTAAAAAAAAATGATTAATACACAAACCCAGCATTTTCATAAATTTTTCTCCAAAATTTAGCACCTTGTAGATATTGGTATTCAGAATCATCCAGCGATTGTGGTATTAATTCTGCATCTATGGTTAAATAGTTGTTCTCTTTTTTATCGTATGGCTCCCAAAAAGTATCATCAAAAGGATATGGGTTTCTGTAAACATATAAAACAAAATTAGAAGACATTATTTTTCTGACATAACATCACGCCTTTTATTCCCGAAGGGGTAGGCAGAGGTGTACATTATGCCATATACAATGTAACACTCACTTTTCACTATTTATGTTATGAGTCCCATGTAATATGGGGTGAGCTATTTTGTTTAATTTTATATTTTTCTTAATTGATGAATTAACTAATTATCATACAAATTAAATATTAGCATTATTACGAACTTACCCGTATTTAGCAAAATTGGTAAATAATTTACAACTTTGTTTAATAATATGATATGAAGATGTTCCCTTCTGCACTGACGGATAAGCAGATCCACTAAATAAGTATGGAAGATCATCTGTATGAGTCGCAGTCTGTAAACCATATTTAGTTCCAATTTCGCCATAAACGTTTCTTTCTGTGTAGCCAGTAAATATGTAAAAATAAACCCGAAGTCCAGCGTCCGTCGACATTTTCAGATATCTATAAAAATGGTGGAGATACGTAAAATCTGTGTAGAAGTTTATTAGTTCTTCCATAGTTTTATTATCTTCTTTCAGTTTGCATTCGCTGAAGTAATGCTGTCGAATGTCAGTGCCAATATTTAATACTTCTGAGGTCGACCTTGAATTGGCTATTGCTACAGGCACCATAAACTCGTCATAGGGATGGTACTTGAATAAATATTCTTTTTGTGTGACGGCTCTATAAAGACCTTCTTCCTCTGTGTGACCAAAAATCAAATCGTCTACATTCAATTCTCTGTCCATTAATAGTTTCATTGGAGGTTCTGAGAGAAAATTGCCACTTTTCATTTGTTTTTCCATAATGGGTCTAAAGTACATAATCTCGAGTAATTCTCTCCTTGGTTGCTCATTATAAAGAACAAACGGTTTGGCCTGTACCAAGTCATTGACATCCACTTGTTGTAAGTAACGCAATGCTTCATTGGGATCTTTCGTGCATTTGCCTAACTGTTCAGTTAGTATGAAAGCACGTCTTTTGTGGTTTACAAACGGCGATTGAAAATCTTTAAAGAATGCTCCACTCATTGCTATAGCTCTTTTAAAAAGCCCTTTAGACAAGGGTGATATCAAATGAAGTGTTACTGCTGAGGCGCCAGAGCTTTGTCCAAAAATCGTAACGTTATCTGGATCTCCGCCAAAGTTGGCAATATTCTTCTTAACCCATACCAGGGCAGCTACTTGGTCTTTCAAGCCAACATTGCCTGAAGCTTCAGGTATGTCCAAAGATAAGAAGCCTAAAACACCAATTCTGAAGTTGATAGTGACAAGAACCACGTCATAGTCCATCAGGAAATCTGGTCCCAGCTGGTCATCGTTACCGGATCCAACGGTGTAGAAGCCACCATGTATGAAGAACATTACCGGTAGTGGGGTTGTAGGTGTTAGAGTAGGTGTATACACGTTTAAAAATAAGCAATCTTCGTTCCCAGTAAAATTTCCACCTGTATTAATATTAATTTGTGGGCAGATTGCACCGTGACTTCTCGCATCTCGCACTTCTGTCCAAGATAAAGGCGGTTGCGGATCCTGAGAAATTAATTCAACATTTCAGTCACAAACATAGATCGAACACTCATGAAGAATAAAAACATAAACAGGGCTTGGTGGAAATGAAATTTATCTCAGATTTTTAGTATGACTCTATAATAAAATGCCACTATATGCGGCATCATAAAAATCGATAGCTAAATGTAAGAAATTGCTATGTGGTAGTGGCAGGTTTAATCTTCAAGTATTTCTGAATGTTATCGAAATATACTTATAATCAGCATTCTGGATACTAAATACAAAGGAAATACGTACGAATACGTTTCACAGTACCAATGTCGATCAATCGGAATTGAATTCAACAGTAAGCCCCCCAAGTTTGACTATTATTTGAAATTATAAACCAAGAATTTCTCTCACAAATTTTTTCCTTCACCGTACGTCAGTGGGGTCTTAACAATCTCACACAGTACATATAACTCGGATTTTACACTGGTACTTGAAAGAATTCGAACCGGGCCACTGTTACAAATTAGATTATGAATGTTTACCTTAAATCTTAGTGGGCCTATGGGTGGCGCGGCGTACGGTATGCCCTTGAAACTGAAGTATTCTCCATTACCAGTGATCCTCCTCACGCGAATACCTTTTAACGTTCCTTGTTTCACTTTTACATGGACACAGCTCTGAAAAGAATAGCGTTATATATATATAACGTATACTTACGACTGCCTCGTTGGCTGAGCTGAGTCTAACAGGGTTTTAAGTAAAAAGTCTCAGTAGTAGCACGGAATATGGAATTGTGGTCGGTATATGGCAATAGGGTCACCCCCTATTACATGGGACTCGTAATATAAATAGTGAAAAGTGGGTGTTACAATGTACAATGGCATTAAGTGCGGTAATGTGCACCTCTGCCTACATCTTCGGGGATAAAAAAGGCGGGATGTTGTGTTATAAAACGTGCACTTTAGTTTTTTTTTATATACACATATTTGCACCAGTAAATGTTGTGGTTACCTGTAATTGTTTGTTACACATAGGCTCATTCCTCTTTGCTTGCTTGTATTATGCTTACTGTAGTTGTGTAATCAAATGTTGGTAACTCTTAATAAATAAATAAATAAATAAACATTGTTAGTTTTATATAGTTTTATATAATATATTACTATTTGCACTCATGTTGTTATAATGATCATTATTAAGTATTATCTACGCATGGACGACCCATTCAATTTTTTTTTAAATAATTGTTAGAAATAAATATACTGTTGACATAGGTGCTTAATACTATAGACAAATAAAAAATTCTTACTGAAACCACTAAGATCTCTGTAAGTAGAAAATATATTAAAAAAAATTTGCACAAATCCCACATTTTATTTGTTAATTTTATACACACAACTACTCATAGAAATATCACTACAGCTACTAATAATTAACATTAATGTTCGTACAACATTAATATTAATTTAATATACACACATCTGTTCTCGACTTTGCTTATTGGTTTTAATACAATAAGTGCGTTCATACATATACATTTTTTTTCATGTGACAAGCCGGTAAACGAGCAGACGAATCACCTGATGATAAGCAATCGGCGTCGCCCGTGAACACCTAGAACACCAGAGGCGTTACAAGTGCGTTACCGGCCTTTTGGGAATCAGGAGTTTAAGGATTGTGAGGGGATTCGGGGATTGGGGAGACTGGGGAAAGGGGTAATTGGGCCTCCGGTAACCTCACTCACACGACGAAACACAACGCAAGCGTTGTTTCACGTCTGTTTTCTGTGAGGCCGTGGTATCACTCCGGTCGAGTCGGCCCATTCGTGCCGAAGCATGGCCCTCTCATACTTTATATATTATTATTACATTTTTGTTTATTGTTATAATCACATATTGTGCATCTTAGTGTGAACCGTATTGTCAGGGAGGTACCAAAATATTTGGAGAGACTGTATATTATAATATTTGACTGTGATGTGACTCTGACTGGCTCTAATTTATGTAATTTCTACACATTATTCTTATTTCTTTGGTTTAGGTCTTTGAAAACTGATATATGTTTGGCATAAATATTAATTTATATTTTGAAAACGTCAGTTAACGGACAATTATTTCTTGCATTTGTTTAATTACTACTGGCTAAATTAATGTATGTAGTAATCGTTATCTTCAAATAGTAATAAACTTACTTTTTAATTTATTAGTCGTTAAATATTTCGTGATGATGAATATTTTAACTACCTATATACACATAAGTAGCTAGCTATACGAACAGTCCCACAACACAACTTTTGTAAACAATAGCAAATAAAAAAACTAACGTATCATAACATTATAACACGCCTTTTATCCCCGAAGGGGTAGTGCACATTACGGCACTTAATGCCACTGTACAATGTAACACTCACTTTTCACTATTTACGTTATGAGTCCCATGTAACAGGGGGTGCTGCGTACTACTACTGAATTTTTTTTAAACACCCAGTAGTACTTTGCCCGTCCCGGGAATCGAACCTGAAACCCCTTGCCCGGCAGTCCCCTTGCGACTATTTGCCAGGCAGTCAACTAGCGTATAGTTACTGTAAATAAATCAATATGAAATTAAACGATTTCTTATTGAAAACGAAATATCTGTCATTTAAAGTTAAATATAGTTTAAAGTTCCGCTTAAAACATATAAATATATCCATGGCCGAATGTTATATTCAAAAGCAAAGGCCATTTTACTGTAAAATAATAGTCGGTTGATTACTACAGTAAAGTCAAAAGTGCAATTTATTTTAAAACGGTGCCCGTTCATGAGCAAAGGGTGAAATTGAGTGTGAACTAATTTTAGTAATTTTGCAAAATGACTTTCGTTGTTCGACTCGAAAAGATAATTCAGTTACGTTGATATTTCTTTTGTGGAGTTGTCAGCCTTAATTGTGTCGAATTTCAGTGACTCAAACTATTTTATATTCGACCGAAGGTTTTTATCTTTTATAACGATTGGATTTTGGATCTGAAAATCTAGCGTTGATCGATGAATGGACTAAGCAATACGTAATTTTTTATTAGCAGATTAAAATGAAATTCATAATTTTATTCAATTTTAAATTAATATTTATTTATTTAAGCTTCATGCACAATGTGTACATTAGGTGGACTTAATGCCGCAAGCATTTGCTCCTAGTCTGACCTTTGGGTGATGCAGAGAAGTTAATGGTGTGAGCAAGAAGCAAGCAACGATAATATCAGTCTCATGAGTCTTTAAGAATTCCGGTAAGGCAAAGCTACCTCAGCGATTAACCTCTTAATAAAATTCCGTGCAACTAATACTATTTCCACTTAGTGGTTTAATTAGTAAGAAAGTTAAAGATTAAAGTTGTACCGACTTCGTTGCGGCTCCTCGATGCCTGCGGTACTTACATGCTTCAAGTTTTACGGTTAAACTTTTCACTATTGAATGATCAATACATAGTATAAAACAAAGTCGCTTTCGCTGTATGTCCGTATGTATGCTTAGATCTTTAAAACTACGCAACGGATTTTGATGCGGTTTTTTTTAATAGATAGAGTGATTCTTAAGGAGGGTTTATTTGTATAATACATGCATATTGCACCCGTGCGAAGCCGGGGCGGGTCGCTAGTAAATAATAAAATAATTCAGAAAATTGAAGACTGAAGAGAAGACTGCACGGTTGGCGCGGTGGCTGGGCAACTGACTGCCGCGCAACGTGTTGCGGGTTCGATTCGTGTGGAACAACTCTTTGTGTGATCCACAGATTGTTGTTCCGGGTCTGGGTGTCATGTGTATGTGAACTTGTATGTTTGTAACCGCACCCACGACACAGGATAAAAGAATATTGTGAATTTGAACAGAAAAATAAAAATCTGTTAAGGGCCGATTTTTCAATGCTCAGTTAAATTTTATCAGAGGAATATCTTTGAATATTTGACAATTCTTCCATACTAATAGCTGTCAAATGACAACTTTATTCTATAGTTAAGAATTAACTGATAATTGAAAAATCAGCCCTAAATCAATGTCATTAATTCAACTTCAATTCCCATATTTGTATATTTTTATGAAACGTTCGGATTTTCTCCTGTATCGTGGGTGCGTTTATAAACATACAATTTCACATACACAATGACACCCAAACCCGGCACAATAATTTGTGAATCACAGCCACCGCAACCATGCAGTCATTATTAATATTGATTAAAGTCAAAGTCAAAATCATTTATTTCAATTAGACCAGAAAGGCACTTTTGAACGTCAACAAAAAATTAAAAGTGAAGTTATTTGCTCATTCCAAGGTGTATATTCCTATGGAGAAGAACGAGCAAGTAACTCCATAGATTATCTACTCTTTTTCAATCAGGGTCATAATACATACAAAAGAGAAGAAATATCATAATTTAATGAAGTCGTGGTGGCCCGGAGGTTTAAGACGCCCGCTTCTCTTACATGAGGGTGCGGGTTCGAAACCTACCAACGGCAAGTACCAATGTGACTTTTTCCGAGTTCTATGTACTTTCTAAGATTATTTAGACACCAATGATAAACGGTGAAGGAAAACATAGTGAGGAAACCTGGGCTTATAATTTCTAATTATAAGTCAAAGTCAAAGTCAAAGCATTTATTTCAATTAAACCATAGTTTGGTACTTTTGAAACGTCAACAAATACAAAATAACTAATTCAAAAGCCTAAATTCTGCCAGAAGTCATTATTCTACGCGGACGAAGTCGCGGGCAACAGCTAGTAAATAATAAAATAATTCAGAAAATTGAAGACTGAAGAGAAGACTGCACGGTTGGCGCGGTGGCTGGGCAACTGACTGCCGCGCAACGTGTAGCAGGTTCGAACTCTTTCTGTGATCCACATAATTTATTAATAATGATTATTAATAATTATTAATATATAATTAATTTATTAAAGTCAAAGTCAAAATCATTTATTTCAATTAGACCAGAAAAGCACTTTTGAACGTCAACAAAAAACTAAAAGTGAAGCTATTTGCTCATTCCAAGGCGTAGATTCCTACTTATGGAGAAGAACGAGCAAGAAACTCCATAGATTACCTACTCTTTTTCAATCAGGTTCATAACAAGAATACCAATAGAATAATACCAATATAATAGAAGAATAGAATACCATAACAAGAGAGAAGAAATATCATAATTTTATGAAGTCGTGGTGGCCCGGAGGTTTAAGACGCCCGCTTCTCATGCATGAGGGTGCGGGTTCGAAACCTACCAACGGCAAGTTCAATGTGACTTTTTCCGAGTTATATGTACTTTCTAAGATTATTCAGACACCACTGATAAACGGTGAAGGAAAACATCGTGAGGAAACCTGGTCTTATAATTTCTAATTATAAGTTTGTAATCGCCAACCAGCATTGAGCAAGCGTGGTGATTAATACTCAAACCTTCTCCGTGTAAGAAGAGGCTTTGCTCAGCAGTGCGCATTTATAGGCTGTTGATGAATGAAATATAAACTGAAATTAATTTCAATAATTCCACATGACGATGTAATCAATTCTGGAAGTTAGGAAGTTGAAAATTCAATCAGGCTAAACACCGCCCTTAGTTGGGAGTTGGAACAAACTAGATGGAAACTTTTCGACGTATCGACAGTTACTGACGCCGTTGGCGAATTAATTACTTAGCTATTATAGCTAGCTTATATCATATATATTAAAAATGATTTTAAAATACTGCTAAAGGCAAATCAGGCTGGTAAAGGTTAGTTGAAATTGGCCGTATTCGCAACAAAAAATATAAGTAAAAAAGACGGTGTCATTCCGGCCCCTTAAGTTAAAATAACATAACATCACGCCTTTTATCCCCGAAGGAGTATGCAGAGGTGTACATTATGCTATATTATGTTACAATAATAATAATAACTTTAATTTCAGACCAAGTCCATAGAGTTAGTAACAATTGATTTAAACTAGTGTTAGTAGAAATAAACACACAATTAACGTATGGCGTGGAGTTGCTTCCACCTTTGCATCATCGGAGCATTCCACCGATCTGCGAA